CATCCGAAGAAGTGGGCTGTAGTCCACGAAAGCTTATGCTCTAATAAATTTGTTAGTCTCTAAGGTGCCACAAGTCCTCCTGTTCTTCTTTTTACAAAAAGTTTGTGATCCCTTTAAGGAGGGTGGTTTGGTTAGGATTTAAACTCAACAGTACAGAGACAGAATTTAAATGATCAATTTTAATCTTCTGTTTGTTTATTTTAAAGAGGTTGTATTGTCCATTACAATGAGACTGGGAGTCAGGAGCTCCAATCTGGGAACTATGCATCCTGTTCTACCACAGACTCATTTGTGTGATTTTGAGCACGTCATAACTTCCTCATGCTTTGGTGTCCCAGTCTATAAAACATAGATAACACCACAGAAGTGTTGTGAGGATTACCTCACAACTTTGAAGATGTAAAATACTTTTAAATATGTCACATCATTAGAATCCTAAAGAAAAGTTAATTCCCAAACTTACCTTGTAGAATGGTATGGTAGAAGAGATTATAATATTTTGGATTTACTAGACATTAACTTAATCATCAAAGGTGTAAACTTCAGTATATTGGTTTGAGTTAAATAAAACCACTGCAACCAGCATACTGTACTAATGTTTCTGTATTAGTTGAAAATAAAACTATAGGTGAACTTGACAATAAACTCAGCCAAGGTAAATCAAATAACTTTACATTTTTATATCAATGTTTATCATGAAAAATGCCATAATACTTTATGCAGGGCATAAATTAGGGATCTTTAAGCAAGCAGTCCTCTCTGGGATGAAGCAAAGCAGTCTGCGCCAATAGCACTGCAAAACAGTTTTTGTAGAAGTGAAAAATAACTTCTCCGCCTGAAACAAAAATGAGCATTCAAATAGGCAGAATCTACCTCCCTAAAGTTGGAATTTGCTGAGGACACAAAGGTTAATTACCTACTCTTGCGAAAAGTTGTACTTCAAGATGAATACTGATATAACATGGGTATCTGCTGGTCACTCATCTACTATACCAACCAAAAGCAAAAGCAGGACAGGAGTAGAAACAATCCAAAAATGCATGCTTGTGGCCGTAGTTACCAAGAACAAACCACTGAATATTGGAAGCATGATTTGAAGTTGGTTGATGATCACAGGAAACACTCAGCCTTACATTTGCCCTCCTAATTCTCTTACTCTGATGCTCAGCCTGTTGAGATGGGGAATTAGTCCAGAGTACTAGCTGGAGCTGAGTCAATCACATGCAAGATGGGCAGGGAATTCTGCATCAAAGCAACTGTCCAACCACTTCCCATGGCTTTATTTTCACTTGTGTTTACAGTGGGGAAAAATAAGTGCATGCATGCACATGTGCACTTTTAAATGGGCTTGTGAGGAGTTTTCAAAACCTGTAATTGGGAGGTTTGTTCTAGAAAACCTAGTAGCAGAGATTACTCAATTATATCTATACTTTTCATTAAATCAAGCTCTTAGCACTATAAACCTGCAACCATACCACACAGTATGATCCAGGCAGATCTCAAGTTAAGTAAATTGGGTAGTCAGTACTTCAGGAGACCACCTCAAAAAATACTGAATTGACATCCCAGGATCACTATGCTGCTAAACTTACTGTCATTTGGCTGCAATGTAAAATTGAGGTTCTGACCACTTGTGGTTATTAAGATCCCATGGAACTATATGAAGAACAAGATCATTGAGCTTGAACAACCTGATCAAATTCCAACTCATATAACTACATCCTGCCAACCTAAATTCCAGCAGCAATTTCAATTGGATAAAAGATTTTTGTGCATGAAGAAGAGTTCTTAGATGTTGAAGAGTTATTGTGTACTATTGTGTTACAGGTTCAATATTTTGCAGGAGATGCAACTGTTTTTAGTGGTAAATTAACTGGTGCATGATTCAGTGTGTTAGTTTTAGTTTGTTAAAGGCACTGCATAAATGTAAAATCCTTAATTACTGTACAGTATGATGAATCCTATAGTAATAATACATATGAAACTCATGCTACTCTTATTCAACATATTAACCTGAGTAAAGGTTTACAAATTTATTTAAAACAATTATACTAGCTTATGGGAGCTTCCCTCTTGGGACTAATGATTGCAAATGCAAGTGTGAAGTTTGACATTCTCCAGTTCTCTTAGTCCATCCCGCCTCACTTTTAAACACTTTAAAAGGTTCATGTGGGATCAGGGCCTAAGCAACTACTCAAAGGACTGACAAACTGGTTGTTTAAAGGAGGCATGTTTCTCGAATTGTGGAACAAACTACTGTTCAGATTTGGCCCCATTCCTGCACCAAGTCTCACTGACTTTGTGGTCTCTACATAGGAGCAGGGCTGCACTGGCATGATTCTGGGCCTGTATTTGGGGAAATCTCTTTGGGCAGGAAAAGCGAGGCCTGTACAGCCTTTCCTGTCCTAAGTATTTTTCATCGCAGCCATCATGTAGTGCCAGAGAAGCTTTCGTTCTCCACAGTTTGCCTGTTCCACACCCCGAGTTTCATAAGGGTGTGTTTATAAACATGTCATTCCTGATTTTGCATTATAAAAAGTTTTTTTTTAAATGCACACTCTTGAAGGCAGGAACTGTACCTCCTAGTGTGGTTAGAAAGCACCTTGCACACTGTGAGCGTACTCACAACCTAAATAAATAATAGTAACCATACAACGCTCTGCACAGTGTTGGGGGGTGAGGGAGTAAGGGGATTATTTTAATAAAATGTTTTAATTCTTGATATCTACTCTGATAGAAAGGGGATCACCTGGCTCTTGCGATAAGGGAAATTTTCCTAATACCAGGGAGAGTGCATGTGTGGGGGTGTCATGATCCCTGCGAGGATGGGAGGAAAGGAAGATCTCCCATGGGGGTCAGAGAAAAGGACAGGGCACACTCTCCAGATGTGAGCACTGGGGAAAGGGAGGGGGTGTCTCTTGGCTCCCAGGAAGCTGGAGGCTCCAGGATAAGGGGGGAGGTCAGCCCCTTGGGAAAGGGGAAGGGGGGAGAATCTCTTGGACGCCAGAGAAGTAGAGGCTCCAGAAGGAAGGGCCCCCATTAGCCAGTCGGGAGCCCTGGGGGAGAAGGAAACGGATCTCATGGCCCCCAGGGAGATGACGGCTCCGGAGGGAAGGGCCCCACCCCTCCAGGCGGGGCCCCTGGGGGAAGGGCAGCCCTTTGGGAGGTGGAGGCTCCAGAAGGAAGGGCCCCTATTACACCAGGCAGGAGCCCTGGGGAAGGGATCTCTTAGCCCCCAGGGAGGTGGCGGCTATGGGAGGAAGGACCCCACCGCCCCAGGCCGGGGGCCCTGGCGGACATGAATCTCCTGCCACTTGGGGAGAGGAGCCCTGGAGCGGTGTCTCCCACACCACCCCCAGCCGCCGCCCCGGCCCCGCACTCACCATGGTACAGATGGAGGCGAGTCTCCGGACCGTCATCAGTATTTCCATCCGCCCGACCCGGACCCCACAGCCGCCCCCGCGGCCGCCGACGCCATGTTGGGACCCAGCCACCCAACTGACAGCGGCAGCCAGAGCCGCAGGTGGCGCAACAGCCAAAGGGATCCGGGCGCTGCCGGTGCGGCAGCGAAATGGCGCCGGGTACCCCCGCTGCCCTGCCAGGAAGGCCCGCCCCGGTCCCTCAGGTCCCTTCCGGCCGCCCCCCCGCCCGGTCACTCCTTCGCTTGGAGCGTGGGACCAGCCCACGCCTCCCTGCAGTGCTCCTGTCCCCGGGGTCCTGCCTCGCGGGGCAGCCGAGCCAGCACGGGAACCGCCACAGGAGCGGCCTGGAGCCAAGGCACAGGGCCGGGAGTCAGGAGACCCCGGCTTTGCTCCTGGCCCTGCTGCTGAGGCCCGGGCTGCACCCACCAGTTAGAGAGCCTTCCTTCCACATATCAGAGGGGTAGCCGTGTTAGTCTGAATCTGTAAAAAGCAACAGAGGGTCCTGTGGCACCTTAGAGACTAACAGAAGTATTGGGAGCATAAGCTTTCGTGGGTAAGAACCTCACTTCTTCAGATGCAACCTCTACTTCTTGCATCTGAAGAAGTGAGGTTCTTACC